GTTATACTATCACCGTAATGTATGTAACATATAGTAACAAAGTTTATACCAAATTGTGGCATACACTTGTGGGACATTTAGTCAAATAAGAAACAATTAGAATACAGAAATGTGTATACAGTTTATTTTTAGAACGGGGTTTCCCAAAGTGTGGGACCAGTGGGTCATGCTGACCTATGCATCCAGGGCTGCCGGGGACTCAGGAGACAGTCAGGCAGACTGATTAGTTGGGCCCTCAGTCCATGACTGAAGGCCCTACACCAGGGACCCCTCCAATCAGTCTGCCTGAGAAAGAGCCCAGCACCTCTGGTCTGCAGCTCCACCGGGTGCAGAGCTTTGAGGGAGGTGAGGGTGACCATATGGGGGATAAGGGGGGTGGGAAAGGGTGACAGTGTGCTTGCGAGACCTCTATCAAATGGTCTGCAGCTCTGCACCCAGCGGAGCTTCAGACCGGAGACTTAATCCACCGGACCACCAGAGAGAGACACTGAACCACCACGGAATTTATTAAATAAAAAATAAAATTAGGCTACAACCTGCCCCTTCCGCCTCCCTACTGTATGCCTCCCTACTGTATGCCTCTAAAACTGGTATGCCATGGTGTGCCAATTCTACGCATGTAAAGTTGCCATGATGTTCAAATTTTATGCATCTAAAACTAATTACCATGGTGTCAATTGAATACATATAAAACCGATTGCCATGGTGTGCAAATTTTATGTATCTAAAACTGACTGCCATGATGTGTCAATTTAATGCATATAAAACTGATTGCCATTATGTGCCAATTTTATGCATCTAAAACCGATTGCCATGATGTGCCAATTTTATGCATCTAAAACCGATTGCCATGGTGTACCAATTGTATGCAGGGCCGTTTGAAGGAATTTGGGGGCCCCAAGCAAATGGACATGGAGGCCCCTCCCCCGCCCCCCCCCGCATGCACGCAAAGCCTACAAGAATCACAGCATAGCCACACACACACACACTGACAGACACACACTGATTGACAGATACACTGATAGTCACACACAGACTCAATGACAAACATACTCTAACTGATTTGACAGACACTTACAAACACACACTCACACTGACAAACACACGTATACACTGGCAAACACACTCATACACTCACATGCACACACATTCATACAATCACTCACACATACACTTACAGACACACACACTCACAGACAAACACATACACATTCTCATACATACACATACAGACACACACACTCACACACTTACAGACACACACACTCACAGGTAAAACACATACACACACTCACACAGACACTTACAGACACACATACACTCACAGAGAAACACATACACACAGACAAACATACACACACTCACAGACACACACACTCATAGACAAACATACACACGCTCACACTTATTAATATTAAATGTCCACCCAGCCTCCCTACCTGAAGAGCTGGTGTGGATCTGTCCCTGGGGTCCAGTGGGGCTTCACTTCGGCGGGCGGCAGAGTTCTAATCCGAGGAGGCGAGGGAGGGAGCACTAACCTCTCTGCTCTGCTCCCTCGCGGGCTGTCTACTGATGCCAGAAGCCGGAATATGAAGTCATATTCCGGCTCCCGCGGCATCAGCAAACATCGCGCGAGGGAGCAGAGCAGAGAGGTTAGAGCTCTCTCGCCACCTCGGATTAGAACTCTGCCGCACCGGGTTTCCAGAAGGTGGCCTGGCAGGAGGGAGTGCCCCCAGAGCCAGTGCGCCCTAAGGCGGCCGCCTGTGCCGCCTTATGGACGCACCGGCCCTGTTCTTAACCAGTCGTTGTCTTAGGACCCCAGGCCAGCTCAGGGCCCCAAGCAATTGCTTAGTTTGCTTGCCTTCTCACGACGGGCCTGATTGTATGCCTCTAAAGCTGATTGCCATGATGTGCCAAGTTTATTCATTTTTAAAATATGCATTAAAAGGGAGTGGTTTGTTAAAAATTACCAATTTCAAAAGCGGGTCTCGGCCCATAAAAGTTTGGGAAGCCCTGCTCTAGAACCTTGCTGTGAAATGTAATAATATGAAACCCACTTAAAGGACGCTAACATAATGCAAACATGGTAAAAAAAAAAAATGGAAATTTCCCTTTCAGCCACAAAACGGATTTTCCCAGGCCAACGTGTCACCAAAGAGGTTCTGTGTCATACATTTTGAATCCAGGTCATAATATCTATTAAATTTGTGGGGAAAAAATAGAAAAATAAAAATAAGAAAGATGTTTTTGAGAAGATACTTTATTTTTTACTCAACATAAAGTGATGATGTGTTTTTTCCAGCATGATCTGGGTCAGATGACTTACATCTGTTCTTTTTCAATAACATGCAAAATAAGTCACTTAACTAAATACTAAACTGCCTTCTTTATTTTCTCATTTTGCTGGGAAAAACAATGTTTTAGTGTTACAGCTAACGTTAATGGTTTTGTTACAGCAAAGCAACGCAGAGCTTACGCTAAAGCAAACCGTTAATAAACACGACACAGAAGTAGGTATTTTGTGGATTTTCAAAGTCAGCCGTTTTTTAACCATAATTTGCATATAATATGTCAGAATGTTTCAGTTTATATATGTAGATAAGGCTAAGTTTAATAGAATTGCCCTTTAATGATAAAATACATAGAGACAATCAAAAATAGTCAATGTCATGCTGAGGTCATAGGGTATAGAAATGATCCAAGCCAAAAAAAACCAGGAACCCTTGGAAAAAGTAGCCAAACTGTAACCGGGAATAAAAATACAGTAATGAAGACGCTCAGATGGTCTCAGATTATCACTGAACATGGCATGCACACCCAGTCTGCTGGTGCCAGTCGTGCTTGCTGCCTCTAATCTGCAGACGCAGTCATGCTGGCTATGAGATGGCCCTCCTGTTAGGACATTCAGGGTGCGCACTGAATAAGGGATCCTACGTCTATACCAGCACCATATTTTTATTTGCCAAACAAAAATGTTTACCACTAAGAAAATTGGATTAATTTTCAGAACCAATTGAAGGGAGATGTATTAGGATTTATAAAGGCATGACAATAAATAGCAAAATATGTTATCTTTAGTGTATCTACAATCTTACTTTGAATAATTTTGCCTATAAATTAGCTATTGGTTCTCAATACACCACCGTTATTATTTCATCCACATCTATTCTTATTATTTCCTATATTAGTGTGGAGAGAGGAATCACAAGGAATCACAGGTGAAGTTTCGATTGGTTAACATAAATAATTATGGGGAAATAAAAAAAAAAAATAAGAATAGATCTCGCTAATATAATAAAGGAGGTGTATTGTGAACCAATGGCTAGTATCACAGGTATCACTATATAAGTGTGTAAAGCATAATACTCTTATCCTTTGCAAAAGCAGAAAAGATAGAGGAGAGTCTTGCGGACAGCCCATTATATAATCTCCTATCTGCGTTTTCATTGGTTGTTATGGTTGATGCTGTAGGGGTTATACATATATATATAGTTAAAATATTCACCTCCTGTCATGCAGTAATATTGTGTGTGTATAATATATTGTGTGCTCTCCCCAGCCATGTCCTGCACCCCCAGTTCTCTCTCCAGCCATGTCCTGCACCCCCAGTTCTCTCCCCAGCCATGGTCTGCACCCCCAGTTCTCTCCCCAGCCATGGTCTGCACCCCCAGTTCTCTCCCCAGCCATGTCCTGCATCCCCAGTTCTCTCCCCAACCATGTCACCACCCCAGTTCTCTCCCCAACCCATGTCCCTGCACCCCGTTCTCTCTTTCCAATAGCATGTCCTGCCCCCAGTTCTCTCCCCAGCCATGTCCTGCACCCCGGTTCTCTCCCCAGCCATGTACCCCAGTTCTCTCCCAGCCATGTCCTGCACCCCAGTTCTCTCCCAGCCATGGTCTGCACCCCCAGTTCTCTCCCCAGCCATGTCCTGCACCCAGATTCTCTCCCAGCCATGTCCTGCACCCCTTCTCTCCCCAGCCATGCCCTGCACCCCAGTTCTCTCCCATGCCTTACCTCACGCACCCAGTTCTCTCCCAGCCATGCCCTGCACCCCGAGTTCTCTCCCCAGCCCATGCCCTGCACCCCAGTTCTCTCCCAGCCATGCCCACACCCCAGTTCTCTCCCAGCCATGCCCTGCACCCCCAGTTCTCTCCCCAGCCATGCCCTGCACCCCCAGTTCTCTCCCCAGCCATGCCCTGCACCCCCAGTTCTCTCCCCAGCCATGTCCTGCACCCCCAGTTCTCTCCCCACCCATGTCCTGCACCCCCAGTTTTCTCCCTAGCCATGCCCCGTACCCCCAGTTTTCTCCCCAGCCATGTCCTGCACCCCAAGTTCTTTCCCACCCATATGCACACACCCCAGTTCTCTCCCCAGCCATGTCTGCCCCAGTTCTCTCCCCAGCCATGAGTCTGCACCCAGTTCTCTCCCCAGCCATGTCCGGCACCCCAGTTCTCCCAGCCATGCACCCCAGTTCTCTCCCAAACATGTCCTGCACCCCAGTTCTCCCCTCCCCAGCCATGTCCCTGCACCCCAATTTCTCTCCCCAACCACTGCCACCCCAGTTCTCTCCCCAGCCGCTATGCACTGTTCTCCCAGCCCATGCCCTGCACCCCCTTCTCTCCCAGCCATGTCCTGCACCCCAGTTCTCCCCCAGCCATGCCCTGTACCCCCCCCCAGTTCTCTCCCCAGCCATGCCCTGCACCCCCAGTTCTCTCCCCAGCCATGCCCTGCACCCCCAGTTCTCTCCCCAGCCATGCCCTGCACCCCCAGTTCTCTCCCCAGCCATGCCCTGCACCCCCAGTTCTCTCCCCAGCCATGCCCTGTACCCCCAGTTCTCTCCCCAGCCATGTCCTGCACCCCAAGTTCTCTCCCCACCCATGTCCTGCACCCCCAGTTTTCTCCCTAGCCATGCCCGTACCCCCAGTTTTCTCCCCAGCCATGTCCTGCACCCCAAGTTCTCTCCACACCCATGTCCTGCACCCCCAGTTTTCTCCCTAGCCATGCCCTTTCCCTCCAGAATCTCCATATTTCTTTTACCAGCAGTGTTTTTAGAGATCTGGAGTCAGAGCAGGCTGCTTCTAGTAACCATAACACAGTGTGAGGGCTGTCTATACTCCCAGCCTCAGGGGCCATGCCACCTGCAGCCTACTCTGTGTGTACAGGAGAGGAGACAGGAACTGTGTCAGCAGCTACTGCTTTCTGCCCCATGTGATTATCCACATGGCAAAACAGCAAGAGGGAGATCCTTAGCAACATCCACAGCAACACCCCTGGCAATGCCCCTAGCAACATCCATAGCAACACCCCTGGCAATGCCCCTAGCAACATCCATAGCAACACCCCTAGCAACACCCCTGGCAATGCCCCTAGCAACATCCATAGCAACACCCCTAGCAACATCCATAGTAACACCCCTAGCAGTACCCCTAGCAACATCCATAGCAACACCCCTAGCAACATCCATAGCAACACCCCTGGCAATACCCCTAGCAACATCCATAGCAACATCCACAGCAACACCCCTGGCAATGCCCCTAGCAACATCCATAGCAACACCCCTAGCAACATCCATAGCAACACCCCTGGCAATACCCCTAGCAACATCCATAGCAACATCCACAGCAACACCCCTGGCAATGCCCCTAGCAACATCCATAGCAACACCCCTAGCAACATCCATAGCAACACCCCTGGCAATACCCCTAGCAACATCCATAGCAACACCCCTAGCAACATCCATAGCAACACCCCTAGCAGTACCCCTAGCAACATCCATAGCAACACCCCTAGCAACATCCATAGCAACACCCCTGGCAATACCCCTAGCAACATCCATAGCAACATCCACAGCAACACCCCTGGCAATGCCCCTAGCAACATCCATAGCAACATCCACAGCAACACCCCTGGCAATGCCCCTAGCAACATCCATAAGAACACCCCTGGCAACATCCACAGCAACTTGGGAGATGAGAAGCACTGTCAATGTGTGGCCCTTGGGAGATGAGAAGCACTGTCAATGTGTGGCCCTTGGGAGATGAGAAGCACTGTCAATGTGTGGCCCTTGGAAGATGAGAAGCACTGTCAATGTGTGGTCCTTGGGAGATGAGAAGCATTGTCAATGTGTGGCCCTTGGGAGATGAGAAGCACTGTCAATGTGTGGCCCTTGGTAAATGAGAAGCACTGTCAATGTGTGGCCCTTGGTAAATGAGAAGCACTGTCAATGTGTGGCCCTTGGGAGATGAGAAGCACTGTCAATGTGTGGCCCTTGGGAGATGAGAAGCACTGTCAATGTGTGGCCCTTGGGAGATGAGAAGCACTGTCAATGTGTGGCCCTTGGGAGATGAGAAGCACTGTCAATGTGTGGTCCTTGGGAGATGAGAAGCACTGTCAATGTGTGGTCCTTGGGAGATGAGAAGCACTGTCAATGTGTAGTCCTTGGGAGATGAGAAGCACTGTCAATGTGTGGTCCTTGGGAGATGAGAAGCACTGTCAATGTGTGGTCCTTGGGAGATGAGAAGCACTGTCAATGTGTGGCACTTGGGAGATGAGAAGCACTGTCAATGTGTGGCCCTTGGGAGATTAGAAGCACTGTCAATGTGTGGCACTTGGGAGATGAGAAGCACTGTCAATGTGTGGTCCTTGTGAGATGAGAAGCACTGTCAATGTGTGGCCCTTGGGAGATGAGAAGCACTGTCAATGTGTGGCCCCTGGGAGATGAGAAGCACTGTCAATGTGTGGTCCTTGGGAGATGAAAAGCACTGTCAATGTGTGACACTTGGGAGATGAGAAGCACTGTCAATGTGTAGTCCTTGGGAGATGAGAAGCACTGTCAATGTGTGGCTCTTGGGAGATGAGAAGCACTGTCAATGTGTGGTCCTTGGGAGATGAGAAGCACTGTCAATGTGTGGTCCTTGGGAGATGAGAAGCACTGTCAATGTGTGGTCCTTGGGAGATGAGAAGCACTGTCAATGTGTGGCCCTTGGGAGATGAGAAGCACTGTCAATGTGTGGCCCTTGGGAGATGAGAAGCACTGTCAATGTGTGGTCCTTGGGAGATGAAAAGCACTGTCAATGTGTGACCCTTGGGAGATGAGAAGCACTGTCAATGTGTGGCTCTTGGGAGATGAGAAGCACTGTCAATGTGTGGCCCTTGGGAGATTAGAAGCACTGTCAATGTGTGGCACTTGGGAGATGAGAAGCACTGTCAATGTGTGGTCCTTGTGAGATGAGAAGCACTGTCAATGTGTGGCCCTTGGGAGATGAGAAGCACTGTCAATGTGTGGCCCCTGGGAGATGAGAAGCACTGTCAATGTGTGGTCCTTGGGAGATGAAAAGCACTGTCAATGTGTGTAGCGACACTTGGGAGATAAGGAAGCACTGTCAATGTGTGATCATATGGAGATGAGAAGCACTGTCAATGTGTGGCTCTTGGGAGATGAGAAGCACTGTCAATGTGTGGCCCTTGGGAGATGAGAAGCACTATCAATGTGTAGTCCTTGGGAGATGAGAAGCACTGTCAATGTGTGGCTCTTGGGAGATGGGAAGCACTGTTAATGTGTGGCCCTTGGGAGATGAGAAGCACTGTCAATGTGTGGCCCTTGGGAGATGAGAAGCACTGTCAATGTGTGGCCCTTGGGAGATGAGAAGCACTGTCAATGTGTGGTCCTTGGGAGATGAGAAGCACTGTCAATGTGTGGTCCTTGGGAGATGAGAAGCACTGTCAATGTGTAGTCCTTGGGAGATGAGAAGCACTGTCAATGGCCCCTTGGGAATGAGAGCTTTTCTCCAATGTGTGGCCCACTTGGGAGATGAAGCACTGTCCAATGTGTGAGTGCTTAGGAGGTGAGAAGCACTGTCAATGTGTGGTCATAGGAGATTGAAAGCACTGTCAATGTATGGTCCTTGGGAGATAGAGCACTGTCAATGTGTAGTCCTTGTGAGATAGAAGCATGAAAGTATGTGTGGCACTTGGGAAGTGATAAGCACTGTCAATGTATGTGACCCTTGGGAGATGAGAAGCACTGTCAATGTGTGATCCTTGGGAGATAGAAGCACTGTATCAATGTGTAGTAGTCCTTGGGGAGATAGGAAGCACTGTCAATGTGTAGCTCTTGGGAGATGAGAAGCGCTGTCAATGTGTGGCCTTAGGAGATGAGAAGCACACTGTCAATGTGTAGTGGTCCTTGGGAGATGAAATAGCACTGTCAATGTGTGGTCATGAGATGAAGCTTACTGTCAATGTGTAGCCCTTGGGAGATGAGAAGCACTGTCAATGTGTGGTCCTTGGGAGATGAATAGCACTGTCAATGTGTGGTCCTTGTGAGATGAGAAGCACTGTCAATGTGTGGCCCTTGGGAGATTAGAAGCACTGTCAATGTGTGGCACTTGGGAGATGAGAAGCACTGTCAATGTGTAGTCCTTGGGAGATGAGAAGCACTGTCAATGTGTGGCTCTTGGGAGATGAGAAGCACTGTCAATGTGTGGCCCTTGGGAGATGAGAAGCACTGTCAATGTGTGGCCCTTGGGAGATGAGAAGCACTGTCAATGTGTGGCCCTTGGGAGATGAGAAGCACTGTCAATGTGTGGTCCTTGGGAGATGAGAAGCACTGTCAATGTGTGGCCCTTGGGAGATGAGAAGCACTGTCAATGTGTGGTCCTTGGGAGATGATACACTTTCTGCTATTGCTGACTGTTTCCATTTGTATTTACCCTATATCTATCTACTGAACATCCTGTATATTGTTAGTATTTTTCCTTCAGCTCACCTTACCCTTTGCATATCTGCACAGAATTAGCCATTATTACAATTAAAATGTTTCGTATAGCGCCAACACATTCCACAGCGCAGTACAATTTATAAACCAAGACAAATTAGTCTAATAAAACACATTTTACCTATGAGAACAGTAGGTGAAGAGTGTCCTACCCAAACTATGAACAGAGAATCATAATAATAATAATAGCAGTGCAGGGCTCAGATTAATCATCTGATGGTCTCCACATTGAATGGCCTAGCTCAGGTGACGTAATGGTAGTCACTGTTTGGCTCTCTGGCATTAGTAGTGGAGACGGGGAGCTGACCCCTGTGTACCCCAAGTAGATTATCAAATCATTCAAAAACAATCTGTATGCTGTAATCTGTAATGGTTATGGTACTTGTAGTGTTCATTAAAAGGATGTGGACTCTCGGCTGAGCATTGATGTACTTTCTTATACGTATTCTACAGTTTGAGAATTCCCCATTAAAACCATTCCACCTGTATGTCAGTCTTCAATCCAAGTACAAGCATGTTTCTCTAATCTTATATCTTTAAAGCAAGCGTATGCTTTTTGCCTGGCACAGTATGAAAATATTGAAATCCAGGAAACATCTAGATATATATATTTGCTTATATCATTATAAAAGACAAAGGTGATTTTACATAATAATAATAATAATATTTATATAGCGCCAACAAATTCCGTAGCGCTTTACAATTGGTGGACTAAGAAACGTAATTGTAACCAGACAAGTTTGACGCACAGAAACAGAGGGATTGAGGGCCCTGCTCAGTGAGTTTACATGTTAGAGGGAGTGGGGTATAGTGACACAGTAACAGAGGGATTGAGGGCCCTGCTCAGTGAGCTTACATGTTAGAGGGAGTGGGGTATAGTGACACAGTAACAGAGGGATTGAGGGC